AAATACACAAAAAACAGCCCTATGAGGCGAGTGTTTGGCAAATCATGTAAAAGCTAGAGCATAATTCGAACTGAGTAAGTAATAATTCTGTCTCAGGTGTACTGATAACACAAATAGAAATTCCATTTCTATCTTTTGCTACTAAATCACTATTATTGTGATTTTTAGTGTAGCAGTGTGTGTGTGTGTGTGTGTGTGTGTGTGTGTGTGCATGTTGTTTCTGGTTGTAAGAAGAATAGGCATTCATTGTAGATCTGAGAATACGGTCATGAACTACCCTGCCCAGATTGTTTATTGGGATGTTGGTCTCATGGACTTTTGCCCAGTTGGGTCTCAAATTGCAATCCTACCCATGCCCACCATCTGAGAATCTGGGATTATAGACATGAGCCACTATACACAGATCTTCATTTAACTCCGATACCAGGCTATTAGAAAATCTAGGTTTTCTTCCTTGACAAAAGACACTGTGTCCTACATAAAAACTGGGTACAAGGTAGCTTGGCTAGGCACCAGGGAGTTTGGGGAAGGAAAGAAGAGCCATTCTTTGCTACCAGGCAGGAATAGCCTCCTAGCACTCTGGAGTGCAATGGGGTAGGAAGCACTTTGAATGAGTCTGCAGGAAACAGTATAATAATACCAGGTAGGGACTGTGAGGAAGGTGGCCACTAAGCAAAGCCTTAAAGCATGATTAGGAGTTACATTTAGTTTTAAACCACAGTTCATGTTAGAATTCTCCAAGCACTTAGAAAAAACACATTAGTTTTCATTGTTTTATTGCTCATTTGGGGTCATCTTCAATTCTAACACCTTGATCATAGTTCCCATTTTAATTTTTGTTTTACCCTGAAAGCATGAAAACAATCATCTTAAATATGTGATAAACATGAGATACACTCTCCTCTCCAGAGATTCTGGTATTCTATATAAATTGTTTATTCTGTGTCTTAGGTAGCTTTCTAATGAGCATGTTCAGGAGCTATTTTCCTAGTGTAAAGATGTTCTGATCATTTGCTTTTCAATAAAAGTTTTCTGTTATCAGAATGTTTTCGAGGCCTAATGGAAAAAAGAGGAAGAAATATACCTTTTCCACTAGGAATAAAAAAGTTGTACTAGAGGAAAACACATGGAAAATACTTCAAGATCAAGGCACAGGCTTGTTAAAAAGATTTAACAAGCCTGTAGTAGCTCAGAAAATAACAGCAAGAATTGACAGCTAGGATGGAGTCAAATGAAAAGGTGTCTGCACATCAAAGAAAACCATCTACAGAATGGGAGAAAAATGTTTTCCAGCTTCCAATATGATAAGAGAATAATATATAGAATATAAAAAGAACTTAAGATGTTAAGCAACTAGAGAATAAGTAATGCAATTAATAAGCAGACAAATGAATTGATTCGACAGTTTTCAAATAAAATTATGGCCTTTGCAGGAACACAAATGAAACTGGTAATCAACATGTTAAGTAAAATAGGTGAGACTAGCAAAGAAAAAAGCACATGGAAGTTTAGATACATGTAACTTAGATCCTCCCAAAGGATCTACATTTCAATAGAAAAAGTATAAAAAAAGGAACTAGTGGGAGGTGAGTGGGTGGGTGGGAAAGATTATGGAGGTGGGAAATAATCTCATGGAAATACATTGTACACACGTATGAAAAGTTCATAGGAAGTCCATTTTATAAAACTAGCAAGAGGCAGGAGGATGAAAGTGATAAATGGGGTGAAGTGATCAGGTACACTATATGCATATATGGAGATAATACTTCATACAATTAATATGCAACAATAGAAAAAACAAAAGGAATAAAAAGCTTCTTTTCAGATGAATTTTTTTTTTTTTGCCGGTTGTGGGGCCTGAACTCTGGGCCTGGGCTCTGTCCCTCAGCCCTTCAGCTCAAGGCTAGTGCCCTACCACTTGAGCCACAGCACCACTTTCTGCTTTTTCTGCTTATGTGGTGCTGAGGAATCGGACCCAGGGCCTCATGCATGCAAGGCAAGCACTCTACCACTGAGCCACCTTCCCAGCTTCAGATGAATTTTATAGACAAGCACACGCTGTATATGACCAGGAAAATCATACTGTCTGAATTTAATGTGGATTAATTTCTATTTACGTAGCATACCTTCTTGTGTGCATTTTGTGGTTTTCATTTTATCTCCTTGTCTCTGTTGTTAATCCCAGTTTAAGGTATTCACTACTTACACCCATGTTTATGCTGCTGCTTTGATAAGAAAGACACAACTTCCGGTTTATATTTAGAGATTTGGGCAGGGATGGAGAAAGAGTGCTATATGAAACTCAGACTATAAAGTCAAAATTTAATAAAAGGTGGGCATAAAGGTGTTAATTACTAGTTCTGTGAACTTATATAAGTATAATAATATATGCTTCCCCTGAGAGTGGGAAGGGCAACAGTCCTCTGGCTATCCCAACTTGCTTCTGGATTAGTAACAAACAAAGCTTTATTATAAGATATGTTGGTGCGGGACATGTGTGGCTGGGGAGTGAGCACCGGGAATGGGTTCACTGAGCAGAAGCAGTGACTCCGAACATGGGATTAGAAGTCAGAACACTGGAGTTGGGAGATGACATTGTCATCAGAGCGGCTGGGGGTAAAGTACGGCTCTGAGTGGCGATTCCACTCCTTACATCCAGGAGGCTGCGTGGAGCACGACCACATCTTCCGAAGACAGATGGAATTAGAGACATTAAAAGGCACCCCTACCAGTCTCTTTTCTACAAGCACATGGAAGGGTAGGTGTTCTCTGTCAGTGAGTCCTTCTTGCCATCCTTATCATTTTCAGCTCTCTGAGCCTGCCCAGTGGTTATATAGTTTCCTTTGGGGCAGGTGAACTGATCAAGTGTTTTGTGTTTCACAGAAAGCGTGTGCTGGTGTTCATGCAGCCGACAGTGCCTGGGGTTTTCCTAGCTTCCGCCTGGGTACATCCTAGTCTTTTGCTATCCTGAACAACAAGAACACCCCAAGGCTGTTCCTCAGCCCAGCAAGCTCCAAAACCTGGGTCAACACACGCACGTTGACAGTGACGGCTTTTCTCAGTGGTAGAATTAAATTGACAAAAGCTATGAAACCAATAAATAAGAACAGCAAGTCCTCATCTAGTGTAAAATAAGGAGTTATAAACTAGGGAAAAACTGAATTCAAAAACCGGTACCACTGGAAGGTTCTTTCCTGGTAGCCAGGATGTATGGGAATTAGTTGCCGATTAAAGGGACATTTGTGACAGTGTTTTGCAGAGCATAAGTAACCATAACAAGCATTTTAAAAAGCAATATTTAATGAACATTATAGGCACCAATGCAACCAAGAGTTAAAAGAACGCAGAAGAGCGGTTTATAGTTCTGTGGCTCAATGATGAGAGGAAATGTAAAATGTCGGAATTTTATAGGTTAATATTATTAATGAAAATGTAAGCATGCATATTTTAATGAAGACTCCTGTGTGTAATCACATATTGGCTTAATTCCTTTGGCCTATGGGTTAGTGGCTGTATTTAAAAGAAAAGAGAAGGCCGTAGGCTGTGACTTATAAGATACTGCCATTTGTAAAAGACAGATAATCCAGGAGAATCCAGTTACGCTGCTGTTTAACTCATAATGACTTGTATGCTAGGGATCTGCAAAGGGCTAAACTCCCAGAAGGCTAGATGCTACACAATTCTAAGCCACCTGGATAAGAGCAGGTTTTCCCCAAGGATGAGTTACCCTTAATTTCTATGGTATTTTTCTAAGATGCTAAAAAACAGAACCAGCTGTGGACTAGAACGAGATGGTGAAAACCATGTGCATTTTGATTCACAGGACTTGGAAAATTATGGTTGAGATAGGAGTCTTGCAAATGTTTTTCTGTTTATTTCTAATTTTAGCCAACTTTTATCCTGATAGGATTTTTTGGTTCATATTTAGAGATAATTACAGTTTTTCATCTTGAATATTGCTAATGCTAGGGGCAAACCCACACATCTAATAAATAAACTTGAGCTTTCCTTTTTATGTTCCCTCACAAGGGAAAATCACTAACAGCTTTTCCTTGCACAGCTTACTTCAATTAGTTCTTCTTTCACTACACTATTTATAAGACTTGCCTCAAGCAAACGTGTGAATGGTTCCTCATGTTGCTGATACTCAGGTATTAAGAAATGAAGAAAGCAGAACAGTGGTCCATTAAACAGGGCTGTTCTGTAGCCCAGAAAGATGAGACTTAACATGAAGGTAGAATAGTGACCTTATTTTCTCATTTAGTTCTTTGCCTTTATGGCAGAGAGAACTTGTGAGAGAAAAGAGAGAGAGAGAGAGAGAGAGAGAGAGAGAGAGAGAGGGATATAATAGTTGCCTAAGTAAAAACAACAACACTGATGCCTTATAGAGAAAGGGGAGCTTCTAGTTGAAAAATTAATACACACTAGCAAGAATGTCTAAATTCAGCACATTTTTCAACACAAAGAAGGGTCTGGTGCTTCATTTTGCTTACTCTGCCCTAAGTTCCTCATGACACTGTTGCTAGTAGAGTTGAAGAGTCTTCATTTGTAGATGTGATTCAAGTCAGATTTTTCTCCCCTTGTACTGGGGCTTGAACTAAGGGCCTACGCACTGTCCCTGAGCCTCTTTGTGCTCAAGGTTAGCACTCTAACACTTGAACCACAGTGCTACTTCTGGCTTTTGCTGAATAGTTTATTGGAGATAAGAGTCTCACAGACTTTTCTACCTGGGCTGGCTTTAAACTGATCCTCAGATCTCAGCCTTCAGAGTAGTGAAAATTATGGGCGTGAGCCATTGGTGCCAGGCTTCAAGTTAAGTTTTATGGTCTCTTTTAGAGCTTAGGCTTCATTTGACTTCATTAGACTTAGACATCATTTAGAGTTTAGACTTAAATTTTTTTTCTCTCTAGCTTTCTCTCTTTCTCTCTGGTTTTCAGGATGACTTTCACCCACTGTATCATCTTTCATTATGTATTTGAAGATTAGCTCCAAGTACTTACTGGGTTGAGTACCACAGTGAAGAAAAGTTCACCTCCTTGGATGCTCTTGTCCAGCTCCCTTGGACCCCCTGGGTATTCTTTGTAGAAAATGGTGTGAGTGAAAAGTCCACAGGTCTGTCTTGGAAGAACCTGGAGGAAAATGCCCGTGTAAGGAGAAGAGCTCTTTAAATTACTCAGTTGAACTAAGTGTTCACTTTTGTCCTCATGAAAAGTGATATAATTGAACTCTAACCAGGGCCTGGAAACATTCTGGGAAAGATAGGATAATATTGATGGAACCATGCGGAAAGTTAAAGAAATATTTAAAACTAAAATATACTTCGCATTATTTTAGCTACTTTTCTATTTCAAATGTAAAGGTCAGTACTTTTACTATGAAGCCTAATATACATTAGCTTCTTAACAAATAAAAAGGAACAAACCATTGCAAATAGTTCAATTGTTGGTGTTACATTATAATCCCTGTAGGCAAATATGTAAAGGATGACACTTTCTGCTGTATTCTGCACATGCATTGGAAAAGGATGTCAACTGTTACTGTGCTGCTTTGGAAATGACATTTTAAATTAGAACAAATAACCTGAAACACAAATCATTGCATCTGCTCTAGTTTGAAAAGATTACCACAGGGTGTCGTGAGTGACCAAAATTCTAGGTGTGAAGCTTGCCAGTTCTAAAATAAGAGGTTAACCATTTGGTTAGTAACTATTTGAAAGTGTCATAAGCAGGATGATAAATGCTGGCGATTATCTGTCTCTGTTATACATTATTTTTATTTTCAAAGTTGTACAGATTGACTGATAAAAGTCCAAGTGCAATGATAGATCACAAGATGAGGCTATGTGAGATGGAACAGTTTTTCATTCAATCTAATAGGAGGATCTCAGGATGACCTGTGTTTATCTCTATACATTTAAAGTGCAGAAAATCAATGAACATATTTTGGAGAGTTGTAAGTTGTGCACCATCTTACCTGAGCAGGTGCTGTGCTTCTGCTCCTAAACAAGCTGCCTCCTACTGTCTTGACTCTAAAAACATATTTAGTTCAGAAAACACTGCTTAAGACTTCCTGTATTTTGCATTCCTTTACAAATATACTAGGATTTTGTTGTTGCTTTTAGTTTGACTTTTTATTTAACCCAGTTCCTGAAAAGTTTTCTTAGGAAACATAATTCCCAGCTCAATATATTGCTGAATAAATCAAGCTTCTATTTCCTATTTACTTTTGTAAACTTGTTAAAATTTTACCTTGTTCATATCTCTGTGTTTTATATCTATGTCTCTATATGACTTATAGCTCCCCTTTATCTTGAAGCACTTGGAAGACTGTTAGTTTAAATAAAAAAGTATTAACTCTGGTGATGTTTACATTTGCAAGCATTCTTCACTATCAAATACTAAGCACAAAATTAACAACAAAAAAGGGATAAGAGAAACATGCTAAATGAGAATATATTTTTTTCGAGCAATCCTTGGAAATGGCATTTCTTGGAAAGTAAACTTGTTTTTTTTTTTTTGTTGTTGTTTTGGGTCCAGTCGTGGGGCCTGAACTCTGGGCCTGGGCACTTTCCCTCAGCTCTTCAGCTCAAGGCTAGCACTCTACCACCTGAGCCACAGCGCCACTTCTGGCTTTTTTCTTATGTGGTGCTGAGGAATCGAACCCAGGGCCTCAAGAATGCAAGGCAAGTGCTCTACCACTGAGCAACCTTCCAGCCCATTGGAAAGTAAACTTGAATGTAATAGTCCTTCATCCATTTATCAGATACTTATTCCAATCTTGATGCCTGTCCAAGGGGAGAATGTTTTCTTTTCAAAAATATTTTTGTCGGCCTATATTGATCCTACAAAGAGGTTTAGTTGTGTTGTTTCCATGCATACATATAATGTACTTTGAATATATTCACTTTTACTTGAAGGAGTTAAATCAGTGTAAGGAGAGATATTCAAAAGTGAAGCGAGAAAATGCCCAAATCTGATTAAATGCTCGGTTAGTGCAGCATTATAAAAATGTGTGACTATAAGTAAATCACTCATTGGATTCAGTTTGAGTTCTTGCTTGGAAAATTATGCAAGACCTAAAGAGCTCTCCATGCGCCTTGTTTGCCCAGCGAGTTCTATTTTAAATGGCAAAAGAAGTGAAAAATATTGAGATTTGTCTCTTCTGTGAATTATTTGAGTTGGAGCATGGTGAAGACTCTGCCGCTCTAGGAAGGGTCGTCCCTGCAGTGCTTCAGAGAGTCTGGGCACCACCAGGACTCCTGGGAACACAATGGCCCCCACAGGAGGGTAAGGAGGTTCTCAGGATGCCATGATGGTTCTTGGCAATGGCACAGGAGGCCCCGCATATTCCTTGAAACAGCCCTCTTGTGCTAGAGCAGGAATAAGAGACCTTTACCACATATTTGGCTAGCCTGTAGATATCCTCTAGATAGGTATCCTATAGATCTGGTTCTGGGAGTGTAATACCATCAGATTTGAACCTAAAAGAGACACTAATGGAAACCTTACCGCCGCTGACAACTCCCAGTTGGGAGATGGTTATGAGAGCCTTAGTGAATAGATAGGAATCCTATGGTATCGTAAGCCAGACTCCCATAACTAAAAACAGGCAAAGGTCCCAACATTATTTCTGATCAGTAGAGACCATGAGAGGGTGGAGGGAGGAGGCTACTGCCTGCAGAGTTAATGACAGGTTTTGCCAGTGGGCAGCTGCGTTGGTCACAGTAAGTAGGGAGCTGCGTAGTCTTGCTGAGAGGCTATTGGGTCTCTCCACACATGTTTAACAACTAGGATTAAGTACAGCTCTGGTTCCCATTAGCTCCTTATGGGATGAAGATAAACACTGTCTATTTGAAAGTGCAAGACTCAGCTTAAAGTTCAAGAACTTTGAACTTGTTTCGTTTTTGTGTGCCTAGAGGTGTACAGGAATTCAGAAGAGAGTAAGATCACCGTGGGCCTCAGACTGGCACGGAGCTCATGTATATTAGCATTCTTTTGGGGGAACTGTAAGACATGGCACTTGATGCTGAAGTAGAAAGAGGCAGAAAGTCAAGGTAGCAGAGTGGCCACAGGAATGAGGAGCAGTCCTGTTGTGGGCCTCCTGGGCTGGATGAGTCTAAGTTGCATGGGGATAGGAAGAGACAAAAGAGGATGCAAGCCAGAGTGATTGAGGTATTTGGCAGTGTGGAAACTACTAGAACTCATAAGGCTGAGGAAGGGCAAGTGAGGTCTGTCTGCAGTCTGTCTGCAGTGCTAATGCTTCAACTACAGAACTGAATTAGGAATTGAGGAATCAATGAGTTTCTGTTAAAGGCTTTTGAGTTTGATTTCTGGAGTTTGCTTCATCTCAAACAGCGAACTATGCATTGACCTAAAATTTACTCCTCAGGTACTGGCCCTATTTTTGCCACAGTCTCTCACTAAGAGAGTGTGTTGGCTCCTGGGGTCTGCTTTGTATCTTTCTTTGGATGGCTGCTTGCTCTGTTCTCTCTCCTTTTGAATAATCCATGGCCTACTAGACATTTCTCACTTGGAAACTCTCACCCAGGTGACCACACATCCAACTTTTCTATGCAAAAGTGGAACCAGGGAGACAATTCCATCAAAACAGGATCTGTTAGGGGCCTGTTAGTAGCTACAAAATTCATGTATTTAAAATACAGGCAAAATGTGTTTTCAGAAAGGAAGAAATGAGCATATCTCAAGAGATATAACCCAGCAAGTTTCCTGGCCATAAGAAACAGAGACAAAACAAAACAACATTGAATAAAATCATTTTAGAGACTTAACTTCACTATCCTAAAACTACCTATGAGTTCATAATGACAGAAGACCACTGAGTGCTTTTAAATTATGAGACAAGTCAGGTCTTTTAAACTCTGGTCGGAACCCTGGCAGTTTGAGGCATGGTAAATTTATTTTCAGGGCAGAGGAAGGGCAGACTCACATAAAATGTGGCTATTATATTCACAACTAGCATTTATAATATCTTTTTTTAAATTGAGGGACAAGTCAAGATGTGAGTTGATCCAAGACGAATGTCATTACCCACTCTAATTTTTGTAGACCTCAGGATATTGTCTGAAAAAAGTCACTTTTGCCTAATTCTTTTTTTGGGGGGGTCCAGTTGTAGGACCTGAACTCTGGGCCTGGGTGCTGTCCCTCAGCTCTTCAGCTCAAGGCTAGCGTTCTACCACCTGAGCCACAGCGCCACTTCCGGCTTTTTTCTTTTTGCTTATGTGGTGCTGAGGAATCGAACCCAGGGCCTCATGCATGCAAGGCAAGCACTCTACCACTGAGCCACCTTCCCAGCCCCACTTATGCCTAATTCTTAAGGATAGACATCTGTTCAAAAGTATCAGTCTGATTCAAAGTTTCAAGTGGCTCATTGCCTAGTGATTTTTGGGTTGTTTCTTCCTTGGGTGTGAGTCTAAATTAGTCCATTCCTAACTTCCCAGGTACCTCCCTGGGATTTTATGACTTGGAGGAAAAATACTAAAGTTTAATGACTTACTTTGGGAGGTCTCACAAACTATTAGGCAGTAATATTTTGGCAGTATTTGTTAATCACCATAGTAGAACAAAACAAAACAAAACCCAACAGAAGCCCTGGAGAGAATTAGTCAATGGATAGTAATCATCTAATTAACATTATCTATCATTACTGTCTATTATTATCTGTTAATGATTATTCAGGTCTTCACATGTGGCTTCTTGCTGTGTAGCTTAATTTTTATTTTTTAGCTTGCTGTGTAAGAAGAAAAGCATGGTTTGGCTTACAAAAGGGCAGCATAGTTAATAGAGTTGGCATTAGTTTTACTTACTATGTCATACTGTGTGGTTTTTTTTTTGGGGGGGGAGAGAAATAGTGACTTCTAAAATCATCTGCAAATTCATTGTAATGTTTCCAAAATTTAATGTCAGGAATATATACAGCTTTTTTTTTTTCTGTAAGTTGTGGGGCTTGAACTCTGGGCCTGGGCGCTGTCCCTCAGCAATTCAGCTCAAGTGAGTGCTCTACCACTTAAGCCACAGCTCTACTTCAGATTTTCTGGTGGTTAATTGAAGATAGGCATCTCATGGACTTTCCTGCCTGGGGTGGCTTTGAACCACTAGCCTCATATCTCAGCCTCCTGAGTAGCTAGTATTACAAATGTGAGTCACTGATGCCTGGCTATATGCCATTTTTAAAGTTGCATTTGCAGAACTGTGAAGAAGTGACTTTAAAGAGAACATCCTTCCCTTAGAAAGAGCAAATGCATGTCCTGCTTAGAGGCGCTTTCACCACAGTTTGATTTTTAGAAAAATATTATCGCTAGGTAGCTGTACCCAGGGGTATCAGTTCAGCCTATCAGTTTGTGAATACAATGCATCTTGTTCAATGTCACCCCTTCCGTCATTCTTCCCCATGGTTGGTCTCTCTCTCCTTCCTGTCCTGGGGAATTAGTGGCAGGCTCTGTGTTGGGCAGCAGACTCACCATGATGTTTTTGTGGATGAAGCCCCTCCGGTATCTGGCTGGTTTCAGGTGTGGGTATTCTTCTGTGCTGGTGATTTTAATATTCCAGACCTTCTTCCAGGCCTCGTAAAGCTGAACGTGCACAGGGTAGACGCCTGAGTGGTGGGGGGCCACTGCATAGCCCATGTCAGTGGGAATGCCGTGTTCCTAAGACCAAGCAGACCATGATGAGCCAGGGCCAAGATTTGTGGCTAATCTGGTTCTTACCACAGCATTTTGAAATATACTCTAAATAAATGTATTCAAATACATCACTGTGTATTAAAACAGGAGTGATGGACATGTAGACCTCTAGACAGCATGAAGTCAGGCAACTCTTTTACCAGTTTTGATCTTGCTGTAGGTGGGCTTGAGAGGTGACAGGTCAGACACATCTTTGTGTTTATTATTGTTCTCAATTTCCTCCCTCCCTCCCTCCTCCCTTGCTTCCTTCCTTCGTTCCTTCCTTCCTTCCCTTTTCTTTCTTCCCATTCCCTTCCCTCTCCCTCCCTCAGCCTTCCCTCCCTCCTCTTTTTTATTTCCTTTATTCCCTCATTTTCTTCCTTCCTATTTCCTTCTTCCCCTTCCCTCCCCTTCCTTCCTATTCCCCTCCCTCCTCTCTCTTTCTTTCTCTTCCCTTCCCCACCCTTCCCCTCCCCTTCCTTCCCATTCCTTCCCCTTGAGCCACAATACTAGCCCAGTTTCTTGCTGATTATTTAGGATATGGAGTCAGTCAGACTTTTCTGCCCTCACTGGCTTTAAAGTTGCAGTCCTTTAGATCTCAGTTTCCTGAGTAGTTAGGATTACAGGTGTGAGCTCTGGGCACCTGGTTCTTGCTCATAGTGCCAACAACTTAAATAACAAATGCTTGCTACAAACAGTATTGAGCATTCTCCATAGAGCAAAAGTGAAGAATTAGAAGAACAGTGACTCAAGTTCACCAGTCCTGCTCAAAGGATTTTCTTTTGTTGGCTGAAGTTTCTGCAGTGTTTGTTACATATCTATTGTCCCCTAGTATGTGGGCCAGTAATAGTCTTCTGAGACATCAGAACAAAGTAGAAAGTATAAAATTACATAGAGCATTTTTTTTGGAAATAGACCCATAACAACAGCAGAATATACTGTAAGAGCCAAATAATCTGGAAAATTAAATGACTTGAAATCTGATGTTTATACATAAAATGGGTCCATTTTTAAAAGGTTTTATTGGGCACTGGTGGCTCACGTCTGTAATCCTACCAACTTGGGATTCTAAGGTCCAGTGGATCACCGATAAAAGTCAGAGTCCATCTGCAAATATAACCAGCAAAAAGCCAACTGAAAGCATGGCTTGAGGGGTAGAATACTGGCTGAGCAAGCAGGAAGCTCCAATTCCAAACCTAGAAATGCTCACTCCTAATAAAGGGATCTCAGAATCACACATGCACAACGGTACAGTCATATGTCATAATGCCTCTTACTCTCATGGTCCTCCTTAGGTTATTTTCGATACCCAAACGAAATCTAAAGTGAAACCGGATAATTTCCTTAGGTTATTTTCAAAACCCAAATGAAATCTAAAGTAAACTGGATAATTTTGAAGGGGGTTTAGGACAATTTTGCATCATGGTAAACGGTGTTCTGCTTGAGGTGGTTCCTGAGCTCTGATTGGATTGCTGTAGGGCATAGAGGGAGGGTACACAGGCAGAAATGATGAAACATGGTTCAGGTTTTGTGGGCACAGACATTATTTTTCTCCTGAATGAGTCTTAATTTATTTTCTGTATTTTTAATTACTTGATAGTCTTCAAAGGTTCCACTTAAGTAGATTTCCTTTGAATTAGTCATACTTGTCTGCTTGCCCTGGACCAGTGTCACACACAGAGAACCGTAGTATGAGGCGGCTAAGCGGATTGAGCTGTGGAAATGTGCTACAAACAGATGTGCAAAGAGCAAAAGACATGCAGTAAGCTTTGTCCCTCCACCAAAATACTAACCAAAAGGGGAAGGAAGTATGCAAAGCACCCGAACACAGAAGAAAAGCAGAGTTCCTTCAGCTCCTGTCAGATTCCTTCCGGTGACACAAAAGCCCCTCAAAAATTGATCCCAACCTGACACACATAACCTGATCTCCTATGGCATCCAGCATTCCTTTCCCATTTCTTTAGGACTGCCACCATGTCTTTGCTGTACATTGGACACACTATGCCCCCTCCACTGGAAAGTCTCCTCTCTCTTGGTCATTGCTCAAAGCCTGGTTCAGTTGGAGATGAGGATTCTAGTAGTAAGAGCCATGCATGGCTGCCATGAGGAGGACGATATGATATGGGGTCCCACAAATAGAGTGAGTCACACCTGGGCTAATGAAGGCTGGGAAGAAGCGATTGGTGTTCTTCATTTCATCTGCAACCCACGTAGACATTTCTTCACTGTGCAACTCTTAGTCCTTTACTCCATCACTAAACCTGAGCTGAAATGTCTCCTTGTCTATATTAGTTTTTAAAAACTCAAAGCAATTTTGTTTTGGTCAGTCATAGTATTTGAACCTAGGACCTAGGGATTGTTCCTGAGTATTTTTGCTCAAGGCTACCACCTTATGCTATAGCTCCACTTCTGGTTTTCTGGTGGTTGATTGGAGTTAAGAGTCTCACAGACTTTCCTGCCTAAGATATCATCAAAATGTGATTCTCAGATCTCGGTCTCTTGAGTAGTTAGGATTGAAGGCTTGAAGCCACCAGCATCTGGCCCAAAGCAATTTTTCAATTACAACCTGGCATATCAACACATAATTATTGTCAACAAAGGTCTGTACAGGATTAATTAAAGCAATTTAAAAGTAAGGATGTGATGATACAAACCAGATAAAATGAATTTCAATCAAAGATTTTTTTGACAAGAAAAAAAAAAACTGCCACAAGTTTAAAACTTTTTGAAGAGCCTGGGATGAAAGCAGGGATGAAAGCAAGGATGGATTCACTGTAAACAGGGCAACTTTATAAGAAATCATGTTGATTAAGAGCTCAAGACTGGTGGCTCACGCCTGTAATCCTAGCTACTCAGGAGGCTGAGATCTGAGAATTGTGGTTTCAAGCCACTTGAGCAGGAAAGTCTGTGAAACTCTTATCTCCAATTAATTACACAAAAAAGACAGAAGTAGAGCTGTGGCTCAAATGATAGAGTGCTAGCTTTGCAAAAAGAGCTCAAGGACAGCTCCCAGGCCCACTTTATGCCAAGATTGGCAAAAATAGAACAAAACAATGCTCAGGACAGTTATAAATGCCTGCAAGTAACCTGCTAGGTGTTCAGGACCTGTCTTAATAATAAAAGAGTCTCCCTTGCTTGGGGTTGCCAAACAATATTCGGTAAGCAATATACACAGTTGATATTTTTCTTTGTGGCTTTCAGCAGTAGAGTTTCATGAGCTGATTGGGTGCCGGTGCAGTGTGGCACAGTGGTAGAAAAGTTCCCTCTTGGACTCAGACACATCTGGCCATTTCACCCATTAACATCAGTGTGATGTATGGCAAAAGGCTTGCTGCATGCTCTGTTCTTAAAATGCTGGTCACTAGGGCACTTAGTACAAAGGGGCAAGAGTAATTAAATGATGTACTGAGCACAGTAGCTGTGGCTCCTGAGACATGCTACACGGTTAGTGAACACTGGTCATTATTATTGCCCTTGCTACCCTCCCCTCCCTTTGTTGCTTTTGTAAGCTATGTTACATTTGATTATGGATAGTTGACACTTATGTGCCACCCTTCCCTCTTTGCCAAAAGACACAGGAGACAGGTTCCCTACCCACCCTCCACTGTAGAAGATATACAAAAGACCAATAGATGCATGAAGAAATGTTCAACATCCTTAGCCATAATAGAAAGGCAAATCAAAACTACATTGAGGGGCTAGGAAGGTAGCTCAGTGGTAGAGCGCTTGCCTTACATGCCTGAGGCCCTGGGTTCAATTCCTCAGCACCACATAAGCAAAAAGAAAAAAAGCCGGAAGTGGCACTGTGGCTCAAGTGGTAGAGCGCTAGCCTTGAACTGAAGAGCTGAGGGACAGTGCCCAGGCCCAGAGTTCAAGCCCCATGACCGGGCCCCAAAAAAAAAAAAAGCTACATTGAGAGTTCATTTCATGCCAGACCAAATGACTGTCATCAAGGAAACCAACAACACATATTGTGCCTGGACAGTGATTCTCCTATTTGTGCTTCTTATTGTAGCTGGGATAACAATGGGTCATCACATGCGGCTTCTTCTGTTGAGGTGTAGACTCACAGGTTTTCTGCCCAGGCTAGCCAGGAACCATGATCCTCCACTTTTGTGTCTCCTAATATAGCTTGGGATGACAGGTGCATGCCACATGTTTAGCTATTGGTTATAAGAGGTCTTATGAGCTTTTTAACCAAAACTGGCCTTGAACAATGCTTTTTGAGATCTCTGTTTCCTAAATAGCTAGGATTATAGGTATGAGCCACCAGCATGTTTAAAAGAGGATTGTAGCTTCTTTTAAATGACTTTTGGATAAAGGTAACACAAATTTGCATTCCCAACATTGTATATGAATGAGAATACCTAAAAACCTATCATAGAAAAATTTAGACTATCATGTTTTGGAAGAGCTAGCTATACCTAGGTTCTTGGCTGACTATTCCCATCCAAGTCTTTCAATTTTAGATTAAGCACATATTGTTTTTCAATCTGTAGCAGAAAGTCTAAAATTAAAATTCTACTTTTAAAAAGTTTAACTTTCAATCAAAGGTCAATGAAAAACATAATGAAAGTAGCATCTTCACTCTAGGTACTCTGCATTCTGTTTTTCTAGTAAGAGAAGATATGGGTCATAAAGGCTGAGGAGTATGGCTATGCTATTATAACGTGTAAATTAAACACTCAGAGAACCAGTGGGGTTAATCCATGACCAATCTGAACTCTGAATCTCCATTTTCAGCCCTGGCCCCAGATCTGCTCTTCCTTTACGATTCTGATGTGTCATTAAATAACACTATCAGTTAACAACTAACCAGATGCTGTACCAAAAAGACAGATGTTATTTTGACACTTCCTTTTCCTCATCCTTCCCTAATCTTACTCCAATAATGGCTTCCCATCAGTACTATTTCCAGTATGTATCTTAAATGTATCTGCTTCACTCTTCTCAACAGCATCATTGTAGACCAACACACTAACTTA